TTTTTTTTGTCCCTCTGTATGTGTGCACAAATTGGAAATAAATAAAAAAAAAATAAATAAATAGCCAGTGAAATCGCAGTCCAAAACATTGGGTACATTTACATTACCCCAGTTTTTTGTGTTTTTTTTTTTTTTTCAACCCAAGCGGCCGTCTCCCACGAGGCAGGGTGACCCAAAAAGAAAGAAAACCCCCAAAAAAGAAAATACTTTCTACATTCAACACTTTCACCCATCACACATTTCACTGTTTTTGCAGAGGTGCTCAGAATGCAACAGTTTGGAACATAAATTAAAGTACACAACATATCCCCCCAAAAATCCCAATACCCCAAAACCCTCCTTTAAAGTGCAGGCTTGTACTTCCAATTTCCGGATAAAGTCCGACTATATGAAAAAACCGGTTTCCCTGAATCTCTTCCTAAATTTACCCTGTACCTCCAACAGAAGTCAGGTCCCCAAATACCTTATCTCCATTTTCCTATCTAACACGCTCAGCCGCTTGCTGGAAATCAAGCCCCCCGCCCCCAAAAAAAAACCCTTTTCCCCTCTCTCCCCCTTTTTAGGAACCCCTACCCTTTTCCTTCCCTATAGTTTCTGCTTTCCCTTCATTTATTTTTTCCCCTTCTTCTAAAAGAACAAACCACCCCAAAACCCCCTTTTGCCCTTGCTTAAAACTTTTATTAAATCCAACTTTTTCTAATTTCCCCACCCGAATTTTCTGCATAATATTTACCCACACATTGCCCTAAAAAAGGCATCTCCCCTGCCTCCAACCCTCTCCCCGCTGCTGCATTACCACCCGCCCTTTACACCCAAAAAGGTGTTGGTATACTAACTTTCTTTTTTTCCCCTTTTTTGCCTCCTGAAACGTTTTTTGACTCCACATATAATCAACGAAACCCCCACCTTTTTTCCCCATTCAATTCTATGATTAACCCATCCTTCATAAAACCATCCGGCACGTCAACTCCAAGTTCTGAAAAAATTCACTTCTTCCATACTCCTCCCCCCCAAATTTGTTATCCAAATTTTTTTTTTCTAAATCATTTGATCCCTCATCACCTTACTCTTTTCTATGTTCTTTTTTAAAAATTTTTTACCTTTACACACATTCCCAAAATCATCCACTAACCTTTGAATTTTTCTTTGAATCTCCCCAAGCAAGTATCACAGCAAAAAGTAAGTGTAATTCCCCTTTTTTAATTTGATTCCCATAATTTAAACCCACCCCCCTCCCGAACACCATAGAAATTTTCTTTTTTTACAAAAACCCCCTTTAAATAAATTAAACAACCATGGCGACATTACACATCCTGTTATCTAAGCCTCTTTTACCTGCAAAAAGTCACCATGGCCCCAAAAAAGCTTTAGTGCCATCCTGGGTAAAAAGAGCAAGAATTAGCATGGGAATTTAAAAAAGGATTTAAGGAAATGTGTGGAAATGGGTTGAACTGCAAACCTTTTTGGATGAAAAACACCCTGACACAGCTACTGCAAACGTGTTGGCAACCTTACAATGACAAGTTATGGCCCCTTTTAGGAAAGTTTAAGGAAGGGGAAGGTACAGAGCTCTATGGACGTTTGTTGTGCGACAGAGGTCCAGGGTTTAACTGGTCCTAGTGGCATTAACCCTTTTTAGGTCGCAGGCCCTTCCCAAACTCGTTTTCGGTCGGCCAAATTTCAAAAAAAAAAAAAAAAATTTTTTTTTCTTTTTGAAAAAAAAAGAGTTTTTTTTTTTTAAACATTATGGAAAACAAAAAAATTTACCTCAATATTACGGAGTATGGAGGCATGAAGTTTGCGAAAATGAGCCCCCGTATGGCAAAAGCGGCGACTGCCATCCCCGGTAAAAATTTTTTATTGTATTTGAAGGTTTTTTGTTTTTTTCACATTTTATTTTTTTACATAAAATTATGTGGCCTTGAGACCCAAAATAAGGGGCAATGTACATATATAACTCTTGTATAAACACAATAAGCACTCAAAATAATTTAATATATTTTTTACAAAAAATTGTTTTCAAAAAACAAAAAATACAAAACATTGTTTTTATTATTGTTCTATAATATATATACCAAAATACGTCATGAACAATTTTTTATTTGTTTTGCGCGTGGGGAAATCTGAAAAAATGGTGTCATACAAATGGTGTTTTTTCTTTCTCCTCATTTATCTCTTTTAATCTGCTCTTTTTCTATCTGTTGCTATCTCTGTCTAAGGTACACATAAAACAAGTATACATAGTATTAAATTTCCTTGGTACCCAAGAAATCCGACAAAATGTATATCTGCTTGAAAAATGTGAGTAAAAAGGTGAACAGTCTTGTGGCTTTGAGACAGAGAGCTGCGGATAGACGATGACAGGGGGCTTGACAGACAGACAATAGAAGACGAAAATGTTTGTGTACCAGTACCAGTGTACTGTTTCCACCCCTCTCTCTTCTTTCCCCTTCTCCCCTTCCCCCCATCTTCTCATATCTTCCCTTTTTCCTACTTTTCTTCCCCCCTACTTTTCCCCTTCTCTTCTTTCCCCTTCCCCCTACTTTCCTCTTCCTCCTACTTTCCCCCTCTTTTCCTTTCCCCCTCTTCCCCCCAAACTTCCCCTATATTCCTTTCCTCTCCTCTTCCTCTTTTCCTTTCCTCCTACTTTCTCTTCCTCCCCTCCTCTCTTCCTCTTCCCCCCCACTCTTCCTCCTTCTCCCTTTTCCTCCCCCTCATAGTTTAAATTACCCGGAGTCGGCAGCTGTCAAAAAGACATATTGTCTCATTACTCACTCCCCCCCCGCTGTCAAAACAATGGGGGGGGTGCTGCTTCCTTCCTCCATTCATTATTTCTTTCCCCTCATTCTATCTGTTTTTTATCTCTGTCTCACAGGTTCACAAAATACAAATATAAAAGTATTAAATTACTGGATAACCCCAAGAAAACCCCGACAAAGTGCTTATCTGCTTGAAGTGTGAGTAAAAAATGATGGGCAAAGTCTTGGGGGTCTCTGAGGGCAGAGAGCTAGACGGATAGACAGGAAGTTTTAAAACAGGGCAATAGACAGAAGAAATGTTAGTATACCCGCAAAAAAAAAGGGGGGGAGATGTTTATCTCACTTTTGGCATCGTCTACCCCCATTTTCCCTATCAAACGTCACACTTTCAGATGTTATCTCCCCCCTTTCTTGTTACTGTCATGGGTAACATTTATTATTACCTATTATTATATGTTTATTATTTTATTTTTTATGTAAATTTTTATTATATGTATTATTGTTTTCATTACGTATTTTTCTTCTTTTCCTCCTCCTCCCCCTCCTCGCTCCCCCCCCTTGCCTCCCTCCTCTTGCCTCCTTTCCTCCCTTGCCTCCTCTCCTCTTGCCCCTCCTCCCTCTTGCTCCCCCTCCCTGCCCCTCCCCCTCTGCCTCTCTCCTCCCCCATTTGGAAAAGTTTTTAAAAGCTTGTAGTTATAAACACTTCACTATCATACCAATTTTCCATCTGGGTTGGGGGTTTTGGAAATAGGGTTTTCCCCTTTATTCTGGTACAAAATGAACGTGAAAAGATGGCCCAGCCCGGGGGTGGAAAGGTGTGGGTTGTCGGGTTTCTCACTATTACCCCTATTTTGGTATTGTTTCGGCAAAAACCCCCCAGAAATTTAAAAAATCTCTTCACTGTCACTTCCTCGTATTAGAACTGTCACTGGGGAACAAAAGTGTCCCAATTGCAGGTTTAGGAATTCTTTCACAGGGCCGGTGGAAGTTGTGTACTATGATGGCTTCCCCAATCACCACTGGGTCCCAGATTTTTTTCCCATGGCCACCCACCACACGACCCATTCTCTCCATCTAGGCTTATCAGCCTTTTCCCGTGAGTTTGAGGGGGCCCCATAGAATTTATGCGTTTCTAGTCGACAAAAAACCCCCACGCGTAAGAATACTAGTAGCCAAAAACCCCCAAAGGGTTAAAAAAAAGGGAAGTAACCCCTGGAAAAAAAGGGCTTCTACCTCAAGTTTAATGGGAAGGGGGGTTCCCTTCTAAAAAAAAAAACTTCCACACTCTCCCCTCCTCCCATCCCATCAATCATCACCAGATCTTCAATAAAGGTAAGTGTCATGTATTCTATTCTTAGTAGACTAGTAATTGTGCATGTCTTCTTCAGTTTGTGTGTATCAAAATTAATATTTCATGTGGTAAAAATTTTTTTTTCATACATTGGGGTGTCAAGAATGGATTAATTTGATTTCCATTATTTCTTATGGGGAAAATTAATTCGGCTAACGATAATTTCGACTTATGATGAGCTCTCAGGAACGGATTAATATTGTAAGGCAGGGGTCCACTGTATATTGAGGCACCAAACATTTGTGATTTTTCAACATTCACGAGGCTTTTGATCCCCTAACCCTCGCGAATGTTGAGGGAGACCTGTACTTCTAATATTCTTTATTCACAAATAATCCACACTTTAGTGAGGATACTTCTGAGTTGTTGTTCGGACGATTATCAAGTAAAAAGTAAAATTGTTACTTGATGATGATGCTTCATAACAAACATAAATATTGTGTAAAACAAGGGTTTTTATGAACTGTTCCACCAACAGTACTGTCACTTTTGTAGATGAATGGTTCAGAGAACCGACATGTTGATAAATTAGACACATGTGCAACTCTTGGGTATCTTTATTGAGGAAACGTTTCGCCACACAGTGGTTTCATCAGTCCATACAAAGGAGAATCTTGAAGAACGGGAGGAGAATGAGGTAATCAGTCCCTCAACCTTGAGTCGATGTGGTCAGTCCATCAATCTTGAACAGATTGATGGACTGACCACATTGACTCAAGGTTGAGGGACTGATTACCTCATTCTCCTCCTGTTCTTCAAGATTCTCCTTTGTATGGACTGATGAAGCCACTGTGTGGCGAAATGTTTCCTCAATAAAGATACCCAAGAGTTGCACGTGTCTAATTTATCAACTGTCACTTTTATTCTACGTATTGCCTTCTAATTCAAATTTAGAAATGTTGGTAACGTGTACACTAATTTAACATTACCTGATGAAAACTGTAGAAACATGAGCTGGAACATCACCACACACTACTAAGAGGGTAGTACTTCCAGCCCAGGGAGATTTAAAAGCCATTTCATCTGTCAGTTGATATACAGTGTACCTGCAAGCACAAATAATATATATATAAGTCACAAAAACTGACATGATGTTATATATTATTCAAAGTATATCTCCCTGAGTGTTTGTAGCATAAAATGAGGATTAAGATAAGCTTTCAAACAGAATTATGTGAAATGAAAATTCAAAGTACAGGTTGGACATTACTAATCCGGCAATCAGTAATCCAGCACTAATTTTGGCTAGCATAATTTCAAATTTCGAGTCGCCACACCAACCTGCCGCTACTGTTTGGTTGCGCTACTTGCTGGCTAAGTCAATCCAATTTCTTTTTCTCCATTTATTGTTATAACCTGCTCACTTCTAGCCTTAACCATGGGTCCAACGAATAAAAGAAATGCTTCTCATTGTGTAAAGCACATACGCTGTACATTTTCCATAAAAGATAAGGTGGCTTTGAAGCCACTGTCAGTCACCATGAGCTCAGCTAAATCAGATAAGCTGTAACGGTAAATTTGGGCCTATATATGAGAGAATAAGTATGTGTGGTAAGTGTGCACCATATAAAAAAATCCTGCAGCACACAGTGCATAATGAGAAAAAAAAATGCTTTTGGTGTAATCAGAGACTTTGCGGGGTCTTTTCGTATGGTTTGTATGGTTGTATTCTCATTTTTTTGGTCTCATTTGATAGAATGGAAGATATATTACAAAAATAGATATAATTTTGATTGGTTTTACACAGGAAAGTACCTTAACCCTTTCAGGGTTCAAGGCCAAAATCTGAAGGGGTGCCCCAGCGTCGAAGAATTTTGGAAAAAAAAAAAAAAATTCTTACAGAATTAAAGATAATATTTTTGTGAAGATAATAAAACAACCAACAAAATTCTGATCAGTACTTACCGAGATACAGCGGCAGGAAGCTGACCCACAATGACCAGGTGGTGGCAACTTCAGTGATTTCAGCAAAATCGCATTTTTTTATTTTACATTTTTAATACTTTTCTTCTTTTCTTTTCTAATTTTTTTCTTTTTTTCTAGTAACATGTGTGGCCTGTGAGACCAATATAATGTACAGTGGAACCTCTACTTGCGAGTTTAATCCGTTCCATGACCTTGCTCGCAACTGGATTTGCTCGTTTGCAGAGTCAATTTTCCTCATTTAAATTAACTGAAATGCAATTAATCCATTCCGTGGAATTCTGTATTTCAATAATTTCGCTAATATCAACTCTACGGCTCATTTATCTATCTTACTTCATCTAATATGACATAATAAATAATGTAAATAACATACAAACCTGATATATACTCTAAAATGAATAAAATATGTCATTCATCTAGTGGTATGGGCGGTGTCGGCAGTGGACGAGAGTTCGTCTGGAGACCGATGAAAATACTTCATGAATAATTTTGGTAATATCATCTATACTGCTTATTTATATATCACAGTTCATCTAATATGGCATAACAAACAATAAAAATAACATAGAAACATGATATATACTCTAGAATGAATAAAATATGTCATCATGTAACAGGTGGAGGCAGCCACAACCGCTCCCTCTTAGTTGTGGTAAACACTCCCATCTAGTGACAGCCTTTTGAAGCCGTCTTTTATAATTGTTATATGTAGTACATTATTATTATTATATATGTATTATTATTATACATATATTATTATTATGAATATTATTGTATTATATTATTATACATGTACTATTATTATTTTGCATATTATTATTATATAGTATATTATTATTATTTATTTATTATTATTATTATTATTATTATATAAATAATTTGTAATTTTTATTCATTATGCTATTTATTTATTTATTATGCTATTATTATACGTACAGTGGACCCCCGCATAACGATTACCTCCGAATGCGACCAATTATGTAAGTGTATTTATGTAAGTGCGTTTGTACGTGTATGTTTGGGGGTCTGAAATGGACTAATCTACTTCACAATATTTCTTATGGGAACAAATTCGGTCAGTACTGGCACCTGAACATACTTCTGGAGTGAAAAAATATTGTTAACCGGGGGTCCACTGTATTATTATACATATTATTATCATACATATTATTATTATTATTACAGTGGACCCTCGCATACCGTTGGCATCACATAACGTTAAATCCGCATGCCGATACATTTTATCACTAAAATTTTGCCCCGCATACTGCTAAAAAACTCGCTCAACGCTATTCGTCCTAGACGCATCTAATGTGCGGCCTGAGCCAGCCTCACATGTTCCGCAGGTGGCATTGTTTACAAGCCAGCCTCCGCGGTAACATCCAAGCATACAATCAGAACATTTCGTATTATTACAGCGTTTTTGGTGATTTCATCTGCAAAATAAGTGACCATGGGCCCCACGAAAGCTTCTAGTGGTAAAAAGGGTGAGAAATACTATCATACACAGTCAGCTGCTGCTGACCCGGTCAGCTGTTGCTGGACCAGTCAGCTGTTGCTGGTTTAGTCAGCTGCTGCTGCACCCCAATCAGGGTGTTGCTGGACAAGTCAGCTGTTGCTGGATCAGTCAGCTGCTGTTGCACCACGATCAGCTGTTGCTGGACCAGTCAGCTGCTGCACCACGATCAGCTGTTGCTGGACCAGTCAGCTGTTGCTGGATCAGTCAGCTGCTGCTGCACCACGATCAGCTGTTGCTGGCCCAGTCAGCTGTTGCTGGATCAGTCAGCTGTTGCTGTATCAGTCAGCTGTTGCTGGATCAGTCAGCTGTTGCTGGAACAGTCAGCTGTTGCTGGACCAGTCAGTGTTTCTGGACCAGTCAGCTGTTGCTGGATCAGTAGCTGTTGCTGGACCAGTCAGCTGTTGCTGGACCAGTCGCTGCTGCTGGACCAGTCAGCTGTTGCTGGACCAGTCGCTGTTGCTGGACCGTCAGTGCTGCTGGACCAGTCAGCTGTTGCTGGACCAGTCAGCTGTTGCTGGACCAGTCAGCTGCTGCTGGACCCGTCAGCTGCTGCTGCACCACGGTCAGCTGCTGTTGATCACCATCAGCTGTTTCTGAACATGACTCGTCCCGAACCTGTCTGTCCCGCCTGAGCGCCTGCCTTGCTGTCATTGTTTACAAGCCAGGGTGGCCGGGTTGCATGCATACATTCGATACATTTTGTATTATTCCATTTTTTTATTGTGTTGTAACTGCTAAAAAAGCCAACATGGGCCCAAAGAAAGTTCTAGTGCCAAAACCCCGTGGTAAAAAGGGTGATAAATACTATTGTACACAGTCAGCTGCGCTGCACCACGGTCAGCTGTTATTGGACCAGTCAGCAGTTGCTGCACCACAACTGCTGCTGCACCTCAAGGAACGTTCCTTGATGTTGGTGAGGGGCTCTTGATTTAGGGAATCGGATCTGTGCATGCTCCCGTTCCCGAAAATTTAAACCTGAATGCCTTCACATCCCCCCCCCCAGGGCTGTATAATCCTTCGGGTTTAGCGCTTCCCCTTGATTATTTAAAAATAAAGCTGCTGCACCATGGTCAGCTGTTGCTGCACCACAGCTGCTGCTGCACCATGGTTTAGCTGCTGCTGCACCACAGTCAGCTGTTGTTGTTGCTGCACCACCATCAGCTGTATTACTCGAAGATGTGGAGAGAGTGTTGTTAAGATAAGAGATAAGATAAGATTTCGTTCGGATTTTTAACCCCGGAGGGTTAGCCACCCAGGATAACCCAAAAAAGTCAGTGCATCATCGAGGACTGTAACTTATTTCCATTGGGGTCCTCAATCTTGTCCCCCAGGATGCGACCCACACCAGTCAACTAGCACCGAGGTACCTATTTGCTGCTAGGTGAACAGGACAACAGGTGTAAGGAAACGTGTCGAAATGTTTCCACCCGCCGGGAATCGAACCCGGGCCCTCCGTGTGTGAAGCGGGAGCTTTAGCCACCAGGCCACCGGGCCTGGTGTAGCATAACGTGAAACAATTACCGAGAAACGATTAACCCTGGAGGGTTAGCCACCGAGGATAACCCAAGAAAGTCAGTGCATCATCGAGGGACTGTCTAACTTATTTCCATTGGGGTCTTTAATCTTGTCCCCCAGGATGCGACCCACAACAGTTGACTAACACCCAGGTGAACAGGAAAAAATGCCTGGAACTAGTGCTCATATTGGTGAGGTTAGTGGGGAGGATGTGGAAGAGTTGGTGGAGGAGGACAATGAAGAACTAACCACTGATGAGCTGCTGATCATCTTCAACAGTAAGAGGCCCCACCTGAGGAAATGCTCGAAGGAGGGGATAGAGAAATTGAAGAAGTTGCCTACTTCAAAGATTAAGGAAATGTGTGCAATGTGGCTTAAAGTGCAAACCTTTTTTGATGAAGATTTACCCTCACACAGCTATTGCAGCCGTGTGTGGACTATTACACTGACAATGTTGTGAAACACTTTAGGAAAGTCATAAAGGAACGAGAGGTACAGGCCCATATCGACAGATATGTTGTGCAAACAGGGGGTCCAGTGACTCTCAAGCTAGTCCTAGTGGCATTAAAAGATGAAGGGAAGTAACCCCAGAAAAGGACTTGACACCTCAAGTCCTATTGGAAGGGGATTCCCCTTCTAAACACTAAGACCATCAACACTCTCCCTACCTCCCATCCCATCAATCATCACCAAATCTTCAATAAAGGTAAGTGTCATGTAACTGTGCATGTCTTCTTCAGTTTGTGTGTATTAAAATTAATATTTCATGTGGTAAATTTTTTTTTTTTCATACTTTTGGTGTCTTGCACGGATTAATTTGATTTCCATTATTTCTTATGGGGAAAATTAATTCGCATAACGATAATTTCGCATAACATTGAGCTCTCAGGAACGGATTAATAGCGCTATGTGAGGGTCCACTGTATTATTATTAGAGTGGAACCTCAAAAATCAAATGTATCACATATCGAACGTTTCGAAAATAAGACCATTATTTCGGACAAACTGTGTCCCTATTATCGAACGCGCCCCTATTTTCGGACCGCCAGGTACGGGACCTGTCCGCTGGCCCGCTCTGTCCGCATC